AAAAGTGCTTCAAGTTGTTTGCTCTCAGTGTGGAGGGTAGCGGGTCCATGAGGTCACCGAGGCTGCATTTGAAACTGCCCAATTGTTACGATTTGGCTGAATGCAGCAGAGGCACTCGGTTTACCAGGGCAAAGACATCAGAACATCTTACTCTTGTCCTAAAGACTTGACACTGGCTGTCAGTCAGTAGAATTGAGTGGTTTGGGTTCTGAGTACATTCAAGAAATTCTGATTGACTCCCTACTGGATCTGGTGGGGTATGATAGCACTTGCCCCGAATGCAAAAATTCAATCATCATTTTTCTGTTGAATCTTTTTTTTTTTTTTTAATACAAATATGTGCTGCCACTTCTTAGAGCCGCTGTAATGATTTTACCAGGTGCCCTCGCTGCCAGGAGGCAATCCAACACTTTTTCCCTTCGGAAGGACTCGGTCAGACAAGGGAGCGCTTAGTAAGAATGCAAAAAAGTCTGCGGACCACCTCAAGTGTCCAAAGGTATGCAGCAATATCCATCCATCAGGTTTTTCTTTTTTTTTTTTTTTTAATACCGTATATGATTCATCTCATTTGGGTCACGAAGACCAGCTGACTTGAACCCCCTCGGGGGCTGGGTACCCCCCCCCAACTTTTTTTTTTTTTTTTTTAACAGATCATTGTGTTCTGCATCCTGGTTGGCGAAGGGAATGTGAACAGTCTCCACGCCCCACCGCTGTACAGCTTGCCAAATTTTCTCCATGACAAAAGGTTCTGTGCTGTATTTCTAAAAACTGTCAGTTGTTTGGAAGAAAATGTTTTCGATTTTTGTTTTGTTTTAAATGCTGGGGCCTGAAAAATGGTTTCATCTTTGCTTTCATTCAATACAGTATTGTATACGTAATAATCACATACAGTGCGGCCCGGTCCTCGGGTGGTTCACGTGTCGACCTCATAGTGCTGAGATACCGGGTTCGATTCCAGCTCCGGCCTTCCTGTGTGGAGTTTGCATGTTCTCCCTGTGCTTGCGTGGGTTTTCTCCGGGTACTCTGGTTTCCTCCCACATTCCAAAAATATGCATGGCAGGCTGATGGAACACTCCAAATTGTCCCTAGGTTTGAGTGTGAGTGCGGATGGTTGTTCAGGTGTCTGCCGCCTACTGCCCAAAGGCAGCTGGGAGTGGCTCCAGCAGCCCCCCACCCCCACCCCCACCCACCGACCCTTGTGAGGATAAGCGGATCGGAAAAAGAATGAATGGATGGATATATGAGAACCTACCTTACAGGCATATATTCTTTATCCTCTGCGAAAAATGACTAATATTACTGCAGCTTAGTTGTGACAGTCTTGCCTGAAAGCATGAACTCATGATGCAAGGACCGATTCATTATTTCCATCCATCCATTGTCCAATCTGCTTTATCCTCACAAGGGTCGTGGGCGTGCTGGGGACCATCCCAGCTGCCTTCAGGCAGTGTGCGGGCGAGACAACGCAAAAGCTGAGTTAAAAGAAGCCGGAACTTGAGAAGAGAGCAAATGACTTAATTTTCGATGGTTTCGTATGGGACGATGAGTCTGGGACAGATACAAAGGTGGCTTTACGAGCCCTTTGTTGGCTTTGCTCACGACGGGAATGAATTACCAGAAGGAACGAGCAACTTTGCGGAGGCTTGTACTTGATATCGGCAGGTATATCCTATGTTCAATCGAGTATTTCCTCCGCTTGATGACATTTCCTTCTGCGGGCAAAATGACGTCATTGCCACTCCTCATGTTACATTCCACAAAGGGAGAGAACCTGAAACAAGTATCTGGGGCTTAGGTCAAGTGTCTTGGAGTCCACGTGATTTTTGAAAGAGGAAATCATGTTATGGCAATGAGTTTGTCGCAGGTTCACAGTTTTTTTTTTTTTAATATCTTGAAGCAGTTTTCTTCATTTTGGAGTGACTGTCTGATGTCTTCCATTCAGTCTGGCCAGAAGTATTAATTAATTTCCGGTTGGGCAAGCTCCTTCTGGTCTTACTTGTTTTATCTTAAAAAGAGATGTCGGATAATTGTTGGCTTCAAGCCTTGTAGGTGACGTTCTTTTTTTTTTTTTTTTTTTTGTCCCCATAAAGGCGTGCTTGGACAAGTTTGGATAGGCCCGATCTTAGGTGCTCACAAAGGTTCATCTGGATGAAGGGGCGAACATTCCTCCACACTTTATTCTCAAAGATGTTGAGAAAACAATCGGGATGTGCTTTTTGTCTTCCATCCATCCATTTTTTAATCGGCTTATCCCCACGAGGGTCGCGGGTGTGCTGGAGCATATCCCAGCCATCTTCGGAACTGGTTGCCAGCCAGTCACAGGACACACATTAACGAACGACCAGAGTCACACCTAGGCGCAATTTAGACTGTTCAATTAGCCTGCTATGCATGTTTTTGGAATGTGGGAGGAAACCGGAGAAAACCCACATCCATCAAATTCCAAATCTCAGCCAAACAAACTGGAGTAGAAACAGGACAGTGCTACAGTATGCTACATTTGTTTTTTTATTTTTTTTGGGGGGGGGGGGGTTAATGATCAAACTTGATAATGATCTATAGCTAATTAAACCAGTTGATTCAACTCTGTTTTACATATAAATTAAGTTTGAGGAAATATTTAAATTTTGGGAAGTACACAAAAGTAGGATTATTTTCCACCAAATTGTCATCTACCCGAATGAAGTGGGGCAATTTTCCACTTGCCCTCATGCAAAATTGATCATGATAAATTTTGGCCACCGATGGAATGTAAGCAAGCTTGCTGACACAAGACGACAAATTCAGACCACCATTCTTTTTTTTTTTTTAATTTAAAGCTTTCTGTCGCCTTCCCTTGAACCAAGTGAGCAACGACTCAGCATTTTTTTTTTGACATCCTGTAAAATCTCAAGGTCAACACATCTAAAATAATTTGTCAAGTTTCACCGCAAGCGTGAAACCGCATTTTATTTCGAAGGGGATTTTCACAAGCTAAACCCTTTCCGCTTTTCCTTTTTGCTCTTTGTCAGAGGCTGCCTGCACATTTTCCTCACACGCAAGGACAGATTCAATTACAAAAGCAGAGAGAAAAATGAGCTCTGCAATAGAAAAAAAAAAAAAAGAAAAACGTCGGAAAATTCAGACTGGTGGGAGAAAATGCCAGATAGACATGATTAAAGAGTATAAAAAAAAAAACTAACAAGAATAAAACGTGTAGACGGCAACATTTGCACCCACGAACGGATCTGTTCATTTTTAGGATGCTGAATCGGTACTTTTAGGAATGTCGTCATCTCAAAATGAGCACAGGGGAATGCCAATCCGACACGGGAAAAATCTTCATTCACGTCACAGAGCTTGTCAAAAGCATTCATTCCATATCAGTTGTGCATGGAAAAAATACACATGCGTCACAAAATCTATTACTCCCCCCTCCCCCGACACAAAAAGTGCCATTTTTGGTCACATGTCCTTAAAAAAAACAATTCTGTTCAGATTCTTGCTTAGATTCCCTCAAACATTCCGCCTTTGTCTACATATTTCCCGTTAGCAACGCAAAAATGCTAACTTAAGTCGACGGCGAGCCCGTTATTCCAAAGCTTTCCACTCGGGATGTTCGAGACCACTGTTTTGTCAGACCGATACCAATACGAGTATTTAATCTTGGAGTACTCATCGATACCGAGTATCGATACCTGTAGTACTTCAGATATTATTTTTCATTGAACACAATGACAAAACATTGTGAACAAAAGCTCTCTTTCCATTGATTCGCTGTTGCGTTAAAAACTGCCACTGTGTAGCACAAACTACTGCAGTGGTCAGGTATTTAAAGGTTTGCGTTTTATGCATATGGAACCACTTATCAACACTACATTTGGGTAAATATCACAATTAAGCGTACTGAACTGAACGAGACCGCTTGTTGGAAATGTGGCTTTAAGGCACTTCAGCAGCATATGGATGGGTGACTGCTCCACAGATCGAGCCAAATCGTATTTGTTGAACGTGAGACGACGAGGGGAAGGTGACTGAACCCGTTTGATGGCTTTCGTGCGAACGATCCGCTACGGGAATTTAAAACCTACACGTAATGCGATAATACCTTAAATTATGTAAAATAAACAATATGCTGCGACGTCGTCGTCCGTGATGTGATAGGTGCACAGTCAGTCTCGGGAAAATGCGCAATCCGGGGCGTCCTCCAAGTTTGGCACGCGGCATTCCTTAAAGACATTCGTACATGCGCAGCGTGCGCTCCAGTTGCTGCACCACGCGCTGGTAGAAGGCGATCTGCTCCCTGAGGTACGCCTGCATCATGTCCTTAAAGTCCACCTCACGCTGACGGTGGAAGTGGTTCATCTCGGCCTGCAGCGCGAAGCCGACCGTCCGGCAGCGCTTCCGAATGCCGTCGGCCTCGTCCTGGTCCATCTTGCCCTCGTCGGTCATCCGCTGGCTTTCTTTCACCTTGGCAAAGGCACCTGGAGGATGACAACAACAACAACAAAGGTTGATCTTATTTTTTTGATTGTCAAAATGCGAGAGACGTTCAAACATATTTGATCCACAACATTCAAAATGGTAAAAAATGAAACCAATGTTTCTGTGCTGGAAATTGCTGGCCATCCCAGCTGACTGACCGTGCCTGGCTGAAAAATGAATGCTACTTTAGCTAGCAACATTCTTTCACCAACACATCATTCCCGATTTGAGCCATGTAAATAATTCCCCCGAAAGTGTTGTCTGGAATATATTCCACGAGGTTGTTGCGAGTCTTTCCACACCACAACGAAAGGCGCTATCCACCAGCTAGCTCGGAAGCTAACAAGTCCGGGCTTCGTGTCCGCTAGTGGGCAAGCAGCAGCTAGTCTTCAAAACGAACCGTCCAGTCAAATTTGTTTACTTGCTGTGACGTATCCTTCGTGAGCAGCATCCACTGTTCGGCGACAGGAATCCATCGCTGATTGTTTTCTTAAATTCGCGTCTCCACAGAAATGTGCTTGATGCGACTGCCCACCAAATTCAATCGCTGGTTGAGCGACGAGTCTGCATTTCCAGGCAAGGCAGCAGCAGCAGCCTTGTCCAAGGCATCACATCCTCAGTTGGGGGAATTTAAATAATGACACCAAAAGTGTTCCGTAAATTGTGGCATCTGAGGGCGATGTATTTTCGGAGTGGGCATAACGAGCTAGCGGAAATTGTCTTCATAATAATATGGAAGTACAGGGTGTTTCATGAGTCTGTTTCACTTTATGTTGTTACCTTATATCTCAGTCGATGTTGAAGATATGAAAACCCAAAGTATTACTTCTGAAAGCAATTGATCGTAAATTTTTATTGCAACACAAAAATCCGAGAAATTAGTGTTGTATTTTTCACAAATGTTCACTCTGCGAGCCCCCCTGGTTTTACAGATGAATACATAGTCTATGTTTAGCACTTAGACTAATAAAATATCCCCAAAGTCTCCTTTTTTTTATTGCTCGAGTAGGCTGTACATTGGAGCACAATTACCTGTTGTGAATCCGCGGCGCAAGGGGGCACCGAGCACAGGCTACTTTTCGCCCCGCCGCATACCAAACATCTGAGGACAAGTTGTAACCACGTTGGCCCAGACGGCCGTGACGTCACTTTTCCACGGGCACGTCGCCACCTCGCACTTCCATCCGATTATTCCAGCTTGCCCAAACGAACCAGCATGAACGCAAAAAAAAACAAATTTCAGATTTTCACATCGCCGACATCGTTGGCGAGCTTAGACGTGCCCGCAGTCGCCGGGGTAACGACATCTCGAGTCAACGTTGAGGCCCGGAATTTGAGCGGAATTCCTGGCAAGCGTGTGGGAAAGCACGGAGAGAGGCGACTGTGGAGATGACCTACATTCATCTGGCTCCCTTTTCCACATGAGGGGAGAATGTGCATCATGGCTGCCGGCATCAAGGAGCGTGCGTGGGGAGCAGCTTTAGAATACTGTAGTTTGGGATTTTTTTTTTTTTTTTTAAATTCAACTCAACTGTATTTCTAGAGCACTTTACCACAACTACCGCTGTCCACAGAGAGCTGTACAAAAGCAAGCATAATTCATACAACAACAAACAATAAATTAATACCGAAGACAGTAAAGCACAAAAACAGTCAAACTGAAAATCAAGTCTCGTGTGGAATCAAAAGCCAAAGAATAGAAATGAGTTTTGAGACGAGTTTTAAAGATGGGCAGGGGGGCGGGGCTTGGCGAACATTCAGCAGGAGGTCATTCAAAGAGAGGGCGACCGGCAACGGAAAAAGGCTCCATCCCCTCAGAGTCTCCGCTTAGTTCTTGGTACCTCTAATAATGTCTGGTCCGCAGACCTGAGGCACCGGACAGGAAGAGCTCAGAGAGGGAAGGTGGAGCGAGGCCATTTGAAGATTTGAAAACAAATAATAGGATCTTAAAAAAAATGTAAAGGGAGCCATTGAGGGGATGCCAGGGTAGGAGTTATGTGCTCCCTCTTACGAGTACCAGTCAAGAGGTGAGCGGCAGCATTTTGGACTAACTGGAGACGCTGAATGGAGGATTGGCTGACTCCAAAGTCAAGCGCGTTACAGTCATCCATAGTTTACCATCGTGCTAATTCAAAGTGGAAAACTCACCGACAACAAAACGGCCAGACGAGAGTAGTGTGCAGTGGAAAATTAGAAACGAGACATGAGACCGGGCAAAGCCAGAACTGATGACTTCTGCTTAACATGAGTACCCTTTCAGGGGCTACCTCACAAAAATACGGAAAAAGTGAAACACGTTTTTAACATCCTTAAGTTTTATTATGAAGCAGATCTTTCCAGTTCTTGGTGACAACTCGCAACCTTCTTGCCGTGAGACCGTGCCACTTGCTTCGAGATAAGGTCACCTGCTTGGTTTAGCTCACGCAGCAGACTGGATGTTTTACGGCAGTAGTGAGACGACTTAATGACCCTGTGGCGGCGAGATAGTCTGTGGGAAGAGGGGAGGGGGCCGTAGGGGGGGGGGGTTGCAGAGCTGCTTGTCTAAACAGCGGCGAAGCGTACAGGCCGAGCTTTACAGGCTGGTACAGTCACGCATGCGCACGGCGGCAGTCGAAGAAGAAGAAGAATGAGGACGGTCAGATTAACTGTGACCACAATCCTGCGGGCGGCTGAACTCTGGCGTCTGCTCAATTTTCTTTTCCCACAAGCCTCGCAGGGCAGGAGGAAATTCGGGGAGATTTGCTCTCATGATTTTCAAGCATCGATTAATTTTACAAATGTGATGTGACAGCCGTTAGTTTGCAGTAAGGGTTACTTGTGTTTACTCTACGAGGCGGGTTATAATATATGGCCAGTGGGAGGGGTCCTGACATATGTCATCAGGGGGGCTATTACTTTTGTTGACACGGCTGTAGTTGTGCCCATTGTTTTCTCGTCCCTCCCGCAGTCACTCAACCCTTTTTTTTTTCTTTTCTTCTACTGTCTCGCCACCTCAACCCACCTGGCTGAGACGGAAGCCCGGGTGCCTGTTTGAGCTTTAATTCTCAGAGGAAGCTTTTCTTTGACGAGTAATTGCTCACGCGAGGTGCAGTTTTCTTTTTTTTTTTTTTTACAGCATGAGGAGTGTGCTTCGTGACCTGCTAAAAATGTAAAGTGCCTTGAGAAAAAAAATTCTGTTATCAACCTGACATAGAACAATAAAAACCAAGACGAAGAAACTGAGTCAAAATCAGTCGGGCTCTGAGGTTGGCTCATGCTTGAAAGTGATTTGTTTGAGCGTCGTACCCGAAAGAGCGCTGAATAATGATTGACGGCAGTTTTCTTGAGAATCTGTTTATCAATCAAAATCAAGGGACGACTGGACGTGGAATGATAATCGCAAAAACTTGTGACTTCAGCTTCCTCGGCTAGCTTCGGTCGGATTCATTCCTTTGCGATTAAGCTGCAGTAATATTAGTCATTTTTCACAGAGGATAAAGAATATATGCTGTAAGTTAGGTTCTCATGTACCCATCCATCCATTTTCCGTTTCGCTTTATCCTCACAAGGGTCGCGGGGGGTGCTGGAGTCAATCCCAGCTGTCTTCGGGCAGTAGGCGGGGGACACCCTGAACCGGTTGCCAGCCAATCGCAGGGCACACAGAGACAAACAACAATCCACGCTCATGCTCACACGTTGGGACAATTTAGAGTGTTCAATCAGCTTGCCATGCATGTTTTTGAAATGTGGGAGGAAACCGGAGTACCCGGAGAAAACCCACGCAGGACCGAGGAGAACATGCAAACTCCACACCGGAAGGCCGGAGCTGGAATTGAACCCGGTAACTATGCAATGTGAGGTCGACGCGCTAACCACTGGCCCACCCGGCCGCCACAGCTTCGCTTGTATGTAAAACCAAAATCAACAGCGGTTTCTTTCGTTCAGGCTTTTGAAAACAGCTTCCACGGACGGGAATCTTTGATCGGTTACGATAAAATCGTCTCGCGGAGTGGAAATCTGACGTGTGCAAAAAGCCATTTAACATCGTTCAGTTGAACTGGAGTGGTGATGGAAACCAAAAACACGACAGCGTGCAAAAATCAAAACGACATACAGCATCCCACCATCCACTCCAGAAGAGCTCCAGACAAATTTGTCTTCATTCCGTAGATTAGCACTGTCGCTTGTATCATAAATCAGCGGTTCTCCGACATAAAAAATGGCTCTCCAAGTACCAACATAATAACCCAAATGAAAATATCGTAGTCTGTAGGCTTAAGTGTTAATCAAAACGAGCCGGGGACTTCTTATCCTAAAAAGTCCCCGTCTTATTTTGAATCATGATTCACTTCAAATGTATTCCTGTTAAAAGTAAAAAAAAAAAAAAAAAAATTGGCTAAAAAAAAAATGTCATAACAAATATTGGCAGTCGGAGCGTCACCTGTTGACAACGCAGGAAAAACAAGTGGAATCTCACATTTATTTGAGGTTCTTTTTTCGAATGAATGATGAAGTGAACTGATGATTTGACAGATGAGGGAAGTCAAAACAAAAAAAAATTAATAGATCAATAAATAATAGAGTGGGAAGGAAATTCAAAAGGGTCCCGCACACTCAAAATATTGGCAGCAGCCACGGGGTGTTGCACAATTTAGCTTTTAAATCAGAGGCACTGTCACGGAACACTGACCCCAAATAGTTGCAATTCTTGCGCTTTATTTAATTGATTTAATTCTTTTTCACACCACCGCAAAGAGCAAACACAGAAAGCGCCTCGCTCATCTCAACACTGATCTCGAAGGGAAGTCCTTCCAGCGGCTATAAAATCCAATTCTTGGATCATCCTTGGCTACGTACAACAAAAAATATGTTCATAATCAAAAGTTGAATTGAGTTGAGAGAAATTCTCATGAGAATTCCAGCGGCGGTCCGAATGGGATTTGCAAAGTTGACCTCCCAAAAGGTTGGCGACCAGACAAACCTTTTGTCATCGGAAATCACATTCAAGTACGTGACAAGC